AATGTGATGCTAAGATCATGATAAGGCAGTCCGTAAGGATGTCCCAAAATAGATTATTGGTATTACAATTCTAGGCATAGCGAGTGCTTAGGAATTGGGGTCTATGCCAATGCAAGGAGATGTACTTGAGTCCGATGCTCTAGAATTGCATTGGGTAGACATAAGCATTAGGTTCATTCCATGTAAGGAGATGTACTTGAGCCGAGCTCTAGAATTGCATGAGTGAACATGACGTGGGAGATTGGTGGAGTAATTGACTTGTGATTGATATGCATGGTGATGTAGTCGAGTTGGACTCGAGAAATGCAAACATGTGTGTTAGGGTTGAACCCGATGTATTGTCGTGACTAGGGGTCACGGGGTTTGGTTTATGTTTTGAAGACAAACTTTGGGCCATGGGCCGACTACTTGACTTTATATATAAAGTAAGTATATTTTTAAAATTGTGTTTGAAATACTTGTTGTATATCTATTAGATGCCATCCACACCAGTACTTTATAGCCGTATAGAGTACTGACCCCCTTTCGGGGGGGGGGGGGGGCGTCCCACCACCATTTGAGGTTGAGGCTAGAGCTTGCTACCTGTGCTTGTTTATCGGGTGATCATCTCGGAGAGGAAGACTTGGTTCGTGCTTCCTCCATTCTGATTTTAAACATTTTAAACCATGCTCATGGATATTGTTTTTCATCATGGAGCCTGTATGCTCGTGTTTGCCCCGTGTGGCACTTGTATCCAAACTATGATTTCCGCTGCGTATTCAATTACTTATTATGTATGTTTATGGATGACTTATGTGTGAATGATATTTGAGACGCCTTGTATAATATGGATGAGTTGGACTGCGGTTGACTATTCATATTGTACGGCGGATTGTTGACGTGTCCGGATAGGTCCGGGGCGTGACAACACAAATATCAGAATTTGAGGAGTCAAGGGAATCAATAATTCTATTTAAAACAAGTCTCTGAATTCTTTGCTCAGAAATATATGTCCTAAACGCTTGTGCCAAAGTTATAATGAATTTTTATTGGTTTATTTTCTTTTAGTATCACGGGTACTTACATGCAAGGTTTCATTATATGAAGCAATTATATCAAGTGAATATAGATCATCATAAATTGGTAAAGGACCAGTACCAATTAGTTTTGAATCTTGAAATAAACTAAATTGACTAGTGCTCCGCACACATGGCGGATATGAAGATGAGCGGTGAGCAATTCTGGAGACCCAATCTCTAAAAAACAATTCAGAGCTCCCCCTCGAAATGTGCAACGATGTACAAAAAATACGCACACATGCAACTCACGCACACTATTTTTGATCTTTTTTGAGGTTTCTCACCCCTTGACACATGCAGCGGACACAAAGTACAAAATGCAACTCACACAAACTATTTTTGTATTTTTCTGAGTTTTCTCCTTCTCGAAGTATGGAACACACACTGTTTTTGTATTTTTCTGATCTTTCTCCCCCTTGACACATGCAACGCACACACACTATTTACAAGTCCCACACACACACTCTATTTTTGTTCTTTTTCTAATTTTCTCCCCCTCAACACATGCAACACACACACACATGAAATCTGATATTATTTCAATTTATTTTCATCCTTGGAGTGTGAATTTGTTGACTTTCAGCTCAATGGAGAGTGTACGCATCAAAACCCTCCTTGATAATGAGCACAAATGATTGCTCACAGCTCATCTTCGTATCCGCCATGTGTGTGGATCAATCGGATCGGTTACCACACATGACGGACGCAGCGGAACAGAGCAAGAGATGCCTTTTTCGCATGTCGGACGTGGTAACTAGTGCAAATCTTTTTCTTGTGATTAGTCCCTTTGCAAAAGAAGCATCTAGATTCCTTAGTTTCTTCCTTAGTTTCCTTATGATGCTTCCTTTGAGGCCCTGAATTTTTAACTTCCTTAGTTTTCCTTTTTTGCTGCCCTTAGAGGTAGATGCCAAATGAGCACTTTCGGTCTTATATTGCTTTATTCTCTCTTCCTCTTGAACACAATGAGAATGAGCTCATTGAGAGACCACTTCTCCTTAATGCACTTGTAACTGAATTTAAACTGATTAAATTGAGAAGGAACAAAGATCAAAACTAAACACACAAGGAATTCCTCAGGTAAAATGAGCTATAATGCACTTAGTTTTTAAGCAATATGACACATTTCCAAAATGTACTCCCTTATGTTCCCTTTGCCTTTATACTTCATGGAAACAAGAGTGCTCAAAAGAGTACTAGTTTCCGCCTTTTCGTTTTTAGCAAAACGGTTTTCAAGTTAGGCAAGGAACGATGTGGCATCAGCCACATCAGACATTGTGCCCCCCTGAATTATTCTAGAATTTCACGTTTCATGATCATTAGACTCATGAAGTATCAGCGTTCCCACCTCTCTATCTCCCTCTTTTCATCAAGGGTGATGTGTCCTTAAGAGCGCCGAGTTTCTTAGTCCGAAGTATCCATGCAATTGAGAACAATCATAATGTTCTCTTTCCATTCCTTAAAATTCATGCCGTTAAGCACATGGGTGTTATTAATATTAGCAGATATTGTAGCAAAAGAATTGTTGATTAAAAGAGAACAAAAAATAATATAAATGATATGCTCTGGAAACTTAAATACACTTGATAATTGATTATAAATATTAGCAATCCCCATCACAAGATACCTAGTGCAACATCCAGTCCTGTCTTTGGACGTGAATTAAACTTGCAAGTGGTACGCTTGGTGTAATAATAAAACTTTGATAATAAAATAATATCAAATATTAAGCATTTCTTTGGACCGACTTAATAATCACATAAAAACCTCATAACTATCACAAATTTTATAATCACAAACGTACTTAAATTTCGGCCAAATAATAATCTTCCTTTGGGCTGATTATTATCTCAGAATGCGGAATTCCGGGTAGGCTGTCATTTCCCTCTGGTGGCAAGCTGCTCGACTGAGGCGGAGCTTATTGCACTCCATGCTTCAGTAGCGTGGGCTATTCAACTGGGGTATGAGGAAATTGAAGCTGAATCTGACTCGCAGGAGGTCATATCCTTGATTATGGACGGCTGTTCGGGAGGTCGATTGGGAAATATGGTGGATGATTTGAAGAGGTGGTCTGAGGAACGGTTGATTTCATTCAGACATGTTTTTAGAGAAGCAAATTGGTCCGCACATTTCTTGGCCAGATGCGGTATTGATGGCGAGGGTTTCATTTCCTTTTTCCGAGCTGTTGAACTTCCTATTCAAGTGAGGAAATCCATCTTAGCTGATAAATTAAAGTTAGCCTATATTAGATATTCTTAAATTCTTTGGTAATCTTGTAATTTTTTTATGCATTTTTTTAGAAGGAATGCCTTCTTGAGAGGTTTGGTTTGGCCCCCCTCTCGCTTTGTTTTTTATTGTTACATCAATAAAATCTGGCAACTGACTCCCGGCTTTTGCCCCACTGATTTTGGTGGTTTGCTTTCCGGGATAAAAAAAACACAATCATCTTAATACATGAGTGATTAATTTCAACAAGAGAGGCTACTTTGGTAGTATGTTGTGTCAATTAACCAACCCAAATATTAGACATACTAATATTTAAATCAAAACTGAACAAACAAAATTGGGCGAATTTTTCTGAGTTACTTGCAAAATAGGGTTTACACTTCCGTAACACTGATCTCCGGAGGGCCCATATTCAATATAAGCGTTCTGTTGGAAGCAGAAGGCCCATGTTCAATAAAATTGGAAGCAGAAGGCCCATATTCAAAATAGGGTTCACACTTCCATATTCTTCAAGGAGACCTCGAGATTTCTCATCTTGAAGATTAAATTCGAGATATTGATCTTGACGTTTCAACTTCGAGAACTAATCTTGAAGTTTAAACCTCGAAATCAGCATTTTTTTTAAATTCCATCTGTACAAAATTTCACATCGAAACCTAAAAACAAAATCAAACCTTCAAAGTCACATATGGACCAATGTGTTAACCAACCCACTTGTTTTCAGTTCATCATGTCAGGAACAAGCCACGAAACACAGCTAAACACCCAACTGTTCCCTAGAGAAAAATGGATCAAGTTGCTGGACAACAACTACCAGCTAGACCTGAAGATGTTCAAATGTCAAGACCCAGTCATCCCAGCAATAATCAAGGGTCACTATCTCTGGCCTGCATTTCACAAGAATACCCCGGTGCCAAAGATATATCTACAGCAATTCTGGGACCGCATGCACACAGAGTCCAAAAAGGATCGATCAAAAATACTGACGAAGCTGAATAACATGAGAGTGGTGCTGACACCATCTACACTGAGGGAGACTTTGAAGTTGCCGGTGCTCGACAAATACGCACCACTCCCGTCAAACAAAGAGCTAATCCAAGGGATGCATGATCTAGACTACGATGCTCCACTGCCATTGCTCGACAAATAACATGAGAGTGGTGCTGACACCATCTCCACTGACAAAGTGGTTTCCATTTTCAATTACCAAGGTAGAGCCGTAGAGGTAAAGGAGCTATGACTTACCGTTACATCGTGGGTGGAGAATTTAAAATTGCACATACTTACATCCTCATGAATTGTCTAGAAATCTTACCATTTAATAAGTAAGTTAAATTGGTAGTTATATTTGTAATATAGCTATAGCTTTCACCAACAGTGTTATAATATCTTTGTTTGAATTCACTCTAATTTTGCAACATGGTACCAATATAAGGTATATATATATATATATATATATATATATATATATATATATATATATATATATATATATATATATATATATATATAGATAGATAGATAGATTTGTGTTCAAATGAGAATAGTATCTCAGGAAAGAAATAAGAATGGAGATCAGCCGTCCAATCTTGCACTGAATCTCACGTGCAACTTTGCATTCTAGAGGTTATTCATGTAATTTTATTTTTGAAACCTACGCACGTACTAAGCCCTTTCCTTCTTTACGCACATTCATTCTTTCCATAACCGTTTCTCAAATTCCCTTTCCATATTGATCATCGTTCAATTTTTGCTTCTTTTCTCTTTCCTTTCTGTACCGGTTTCGTGACTCAGTCTTCTCCATCGTCCCTGCCTGTCAATCGAATTCCGGCGCACTTCGTCATACACATTTCTGCCATGGAAACCGGTTAGCATCGCTCCTCTGTTCTTTGTTATGTTGTCATTATTTTGGTTTTTTTATGTGCTCTTCGATTCTTTCAATATTTTTGATGTATTTGGTGAATATTTTGTAAACAATTCTCTACCCCTCTTTTTTTATATTTGTACATCGTTTATGCATTTGAAATTCTTGAAAGTTAAAAGTTGCCTAGTTCGACTCCATTTTGCCAGAGGAATCAAAGTATTATTGTGATGCTGCCAAATGTTTTCCCATGATGCACTTTGTCTTTGATGTGTTTTTTAATTTATATAATTATTTTTACATAAGAATGGAGTTCAACAGTTTATTCAATGCACTCCATTTTGCATCATGGTTTTGATTTTTTTTTACATAATGCACTTCTAGTTTATTTGTATACAGTTCATAATGAAATGTTTGATGCATTCCATTATTTATTTAGATGTCCATTCATGTGCTACATAATGCACTGTATTTGTGAATTATGTTTATATGATTAAATGTTTTTACTTTTAATTCAGATTCAAATTAATGCATATGCTTAGTTAATATATTCAGTGTTATAATGCTGCCAAATGCTTTCCCATGATGCACATTTGACTTTGATGTGTCTTTGCATTTGTATAAAATTCTTAATTTTTTTAATAACAATGTAGTTCAAAAGTTGATTCAATGCACTCCATTTTGCATCATGCTGCTGAAAATGTTTACGTAATGCACTTCTACTTTATTTGAAGAAATGTTTTTACTTTTATTCAGATTCCAATTAATTGTTTTTTACTGCAATGTCATTTTATTTTGATGAATGATTATGTGCACAAATGTTTTGCTTTTTCATTCAGATTCAAATGATGTCGGTTTCAGTGCTTCTTCTGCAATTTCTCAGCCCGTTGATGTTCAAACAATGCACCTTTCACATGGATCCACTATGTATTGGACACCCGAGTGTGATCCCGCTGTCAAACCGTGTGTTGGTATGTTTTTCAACAACCTGCGTGAAGCTAAGGTATTTTATGATGATTATGCATCAGTGTGTGGTTTTGAAATACGTATTTTTAGTTCATCAAAGGCTCCTGATGGTGTTATTGTTTGGAGATATTTGGTATGTAATAGGGAGGGATTTAAAAATGTATCTAAATCCCGCAAGGATGCATCTAACAACGATCTTTGCAAAACCACAAATAACAACTCTGGTTGCATTAATGAAGATGCAGATAATGAGTTAAATCATGAAAATGAGTCATCAGAATCCGAAGGAGGTGAAATTGATGGGCAACCTTCTCGTCAAGATTTACAAACTCTTGCCCTCTATGTTGATGATGATAAAAAGAGACGTCGAGTTTCCAATAGGATTGGATGTAAAGCACGTTTAGTGCTTAGGCTTGCTGACACCAACACATACGTGGTTACATTGTTTGAAGAGAAGCATAACCATTGTATGGCGTCTAGTTCTTCCATGCCTTTTTTAAAAGTGAATAGGAAACTAGATATTGGTCATCAAAAGTTTTTCCTCAATTGTGTTAAAGCAAATATCGGTACAACAAAATGTTATCGATTGTATAAAGAAACTGTCGGGGGCTATTCCAATATAGGAGCCACGTCCATTGATTTTAAGAATTTTAAACGTGACTTGAAGGCGTACGTAGTTGGCGTGGATGCTCAAATGCTGATAGATAAACTTTTCAGAAAGAAAGAGGTTTGCTCAGCCTTTGCTTTTGACTATGATGTCGATGAGAGTGATCAATTGACACGCATATTTTGGGCTGATCCAGTTTGCATAAGGAACTATGCTTTATTTGGGGATGTTGTTTCTTTTGATGCTACATATGAGACAAATCGGTAATTTTTCTTTTCATTCTGTATTTGTTAGTAAAACTAATCTTACTTTCTTTTATGTAAAATTGCTGATCCCTCACACTGATATTCTTATACTCATGTATGAGTTACTTGTCTGACATAAACTTGTATATTTGTCGCACCTTTCCTGAGTTTTTGATGCACTTTTATCTTAATTAAATTTCTGATCCATCACACGTATATTCTTATATCTATGTATGTGTCACTTTTGTTACATTACCTTCTCGCATATGCTGCACTTGTCTTGAGCAATGGATGCACTTTTAATTATTTCTTTCACAATACAGGTATAACATGGTTTTTGCTCCTTTTACCGGTGTTGATAATCATAAAAAATGCATTACATTTGGTGTGGGTTTGTTGTTGAAAGAAGATGTTGAATCATATGCTTGGTTGTTTCGGTGTTTTCTTAATGCAATGGGTCGTGAACCAAAGTGCATCATAACAGACCAAGACCCGGCAATGAAGATTGCTATTCCACAGGTTTTCACTACGACATGTCACAGATTTTTCATGTGGCATATAATGTCAAAACTTAGTGCAAAAGTTGGACCTGTCTTGAGTAAGGATATGAATTTCTTGAATAAATTGAATTCTGTGGTATGGAGTCATTATCTTCAGCCTGCTGAATTTGAAAAGGAATGGAATATGGTCATGAAAGAATTTGACTTACTTGATCACAACTTGTTCACAAACATGTTTGAAATTCGCAAGCTTTGGATCCCTGCTTATTTTGGTGACGTTTTGATGGCTGGTTTGCTTAGGACTACATCACGTTCAGAAAGCGAGAATAATTTTTTCAATGAATTCACGAATCCTAATTTCAGTCTGATTGAATTTTATATGCAGTTTGAAAGTGCTATGGATTCACAAAGACACAATAGTGCACAGTTGACCAAAGTTTCTGAGTCATGCATTCCTGAATACAAAACTCCATTACATATTGAGAGATATGCTTTGTCTGTTTATAATCATTCCATTTTCTATGTCGTTCAGAAGGAAATATGTTCCGCTTGTTTTTCTTGTGGTGTACATAGTGTTCGACATGAAGATGGTGCGTCTCAGTATGTAATATCTGATGAGCGAGGTTTTAGTTTCACAGTTGAGCACAATAGTATTGATTGTACTACAAGTTGCACGTGCAAACATTTTGAAAGGATTGGCATACTGTGTCGTCACATATTTTTCGTGTTTAAAGATCTGAAGGTTAATGTTATTCCAGATAAATATGTGTTACGCAGATGGTGCAAAGATTCTATCCTAAAGCCTCTTAATGCGTCTGAAGATGCTATTTTTCAACAGTGTGTTGGCACTGAAGAAAAGAAAGGAGCTATTAAGCAATTGTGGTCTGATATTCATTTTTGTGTCGGAATGATTGAGCATGACCCTGATTTATTCCAGCAGTTTGCCGATGTCATTAAGGCGCAGAAAGACTTATTGTCTGCCTCTGATCAAAACAGTGCACCATCAACTTCAAAACTGGATGTTATTAAATCATTTTATGGATCATCTATTCCTACTGAAGTCAGTGTGCATCCACCTCAGCAAGCTCGAAATAAAGGTTGTGGCAAGAGGATTAAAGGCGACAAGGAAAAGGCAATTGAAATCAACAAGAAGAGTAAGAGACTCTGCAGAACATGTAATCAGAAGGTGTATCACGACAGTAGGAATTGTCCTTTGAACTCCGAGAAATGATTACAATTTTAATGGATCTGTATGTAGACATATATTGTTGATTATTACTTACGATTAATTAGAGTTGTATGACAATTTTTATTGCTATTAATTTCATTATTTAATTTACATATTTACTTATGAATTTTGTCCACATTTTATAGTTACTTGTACTCCAAATTCTTTATTTGAATATGAATTTTTTTAGTTTATTAATATATGTCTAGTCTCCTGATGTAGTCCATTTGTTGCATTGTGATTAATGTGACCTTTGTGACTGTTTAATGTTAATTTTGCACTGTTAATTATCCATGATGTACATTTACTCTCTCCCTCATGCACTCCACAATTAATTCTTTTTATGTTTGCACTGCTAATCATCCCGCGATGCAACGTTTTACTATCTCCGTAATGCACTCCACTTCTCACCATAATTCATGTTTCGGCTTTTAATGTACTTGGTTTTATGTAAATGATGCACGCCATATCATTTAAATATCTACTTGCACTTTGATCTAAATTCAATACAAATCCTGTGTTGATGGACTTCAAATTTTCTTGATTAATGGATTTGTACACTTTGATTTATGCACTGCTAAGAATCCCATGTCGCACTTTTAGCTTTTCCATAATGCACTTAACGTCCAAATTTTCTTGATTAATGAATCTTGTTTGCACTGCTAATCATCCCGTGATGCCACGTTTTACTATCTCCCTAATGCACTCCACTTCTCAGCATAATTCATGTTTCGGCTTTCCATAATGTACTTGGTTTCATGTAAATGATGCATGCCATATCATTTAAATATCTACTTGCACGTTGATCTAAATTCAATACAAATTCTGTGTTGATGGACTTCAAATTTTCTTGATGAATGGATTTGTAACATTCACTTATGCACTGCTAAGAATCCCATGTTGCACTTTTAGCTTTTCCATGATGCACTTACCGTTATGACTTAAATGCTTTTCAAAAAATGAGGCATTATCAGTAGTTGTTTGCCTTATCAGTAGTTTATGCACTTCTCATTTTGTACTACAATACTCATTTCATCCACAACCTTATGTCAAAACCGCATTTCATATGCAATGCAAAATAAATTCAACCAAACTTTTGCATTAATAAATGTAGCAACAGAATATGACAGACTTCAAAATTTCTAGATGTTCAAAGATGTATCAAAACCACAATCAATCATAGCGGAAATCAAAATATAAGTGTTAAAGATATTTTTAAACTGATCACATGTTTTCTTCCCCCATAGCTCATGGCACTTTTATATTAAATTCCCTGTTTATTTCTCACTTCTTTAGCAAAATCATTGGCCTTGCTGAAATTTAATTCTTTTAGCTCATTCACTTGTGCCCCTGCTATTTCTGTCCAGTACTTCATTCTTAAAGATGCCATAGTCTTTGTATCTCCCTTCTTTAGTCCAATATCCCAACTCTTCACACTTTGACCCATGTACGTTTCCATGTGTCTCATCGTCCATATTCCGTAAGCACACGGGTTCTTCACATCTCTCCACTTCATTGCCAACCTCGTCACCTTGGCCTTTTGGAACGCCTTCTTGCCTTCAATTATTCCATATTGTGATAGAAATTTAGTAAACATGTCCCTCTGTTTAACAAAACATTCAACAATAAATGACATTAATTCCTTATCCTTTACTTCTATAAGAAATGAAACTGAATGTATAAGTTAAGTATTATTACCATTGACAGAGGCATCTCATCATACATCTCCTCCATAGTGAGATTACATGAAGAGTAGTCCAAGATTTCTATTTTTTCACTCTTCATATTGAAGCACAAGATGTAGTAGTGTGAAGGCTGAATAATTGGGAAGAAAAACTACAATACAAACATGAATTTAAGTATAATATAAATGCACATATACATCACTTTTTATGCACCATTAGTAATATATTGGTCTTACCAGTTCTACATCCTTCAGATTTATTTCGGGTTTCATTGCTTGGAGTCCTATAACCATGCCTTGCTTCAACAACGGATATGATGTGTCATCCGTCATGCCATGGGCTTCAAGCGTGTATAGCTGCCACAGTTTTAGTTAACATAGAATTCATTATTATAAACCTAAAATATGAACTGACAGAGTAACTGAAAAAAATTGTTTTCCTACACATGGATATGCTGGTGCAAAAAAACGACATGGTGATCCTTCGCTTCGAAACTTTTCCTTTGTGTTTAGTATTGCAGACCAAGCATCAATGACACTCAAAGATATGTGTTTATCTTCTTCAAATGTCATCATATCGTCTCTGGTCACCTTCAGATCGTTGTATTTGAAAATTATCTCCCCACTGTCAATAAACCAATGCATTTATACGAAAACAATATATACCACACATCTACGATTCTTAATGCACTTAACATAGTAATATGACAGACACATTTTATCACCTGTCCACACCATGTTTGTTTGAAACTCAGTTACCCAATAGCTTTTCAAGTGCGCTACAGGTTTGTCTTGGATCAACTATCCTGCACATGTAGGGCGATTTAAAAAACTTTCCCGTTTTACCTTTTCTTCGCAATTCCACCTCATTCGATTTTCCTGCTGCAACTTGAACCTGCCTACATGGCGTAGCTTCTATAACCTGTTACACATCCCAGTGTTACTAAGCAATTTATTCACTTCATACTAATAACTTTGCAATTATACATATTACCTTGTTATTTTGCACACTAGGCTGGCCAACATCAACATGTGAATTATTTTCTCCTTGTGTCAGTCCAATAGAAAATGATGGACTGTCTTCCACTCCTTTCTTGGTCTTCGGCTCTTTCACATTTGCATTTACAACCTCATCTATTTCTGAAATTGTCCTTGGATCGTTCCAGAAAACTTCGTCCTCCCTGTCATCATTAAATCCTTTTTCGTTTCCCTCTCCACTTCCATGATTTTTAGGAATCTCTATCACAATTAGGTTCTGTGCACATTCACGCATCTTATTGAAGTCTTCATTAAGCAATAAAGATTTTGGAGCTGTGTCCATGATGCCCATTAAATCCAGTAAACAATTAGCAAACTTCTCCATGAATATCTGTTTTTACATAAGTTTTGAAATATTAGTCATCATAAAAGTGTAATTTGTCGATGTGCAGTAGTAATTCACAATTTTGTCCATATAATACTCATGCACTCACATTCAATTCTTAGTGCAGAATGCCACAAAACTTTAAATCTTCAAAAATTATACAAAAAAGGTTCAATTTCCTACTGTTTGATGCACACACTAGATTGGGTTTATTTTGTGTTATTCAAATTTTTTCTTAGTTCTTACAAACATATTATTCATACCTCATGTTTTTTTTGCAATTCATAGTGCACTAATGAACATATACAACCCTCATGCACTAATATTCAATTCAGATTGCACTACTGTGAAACACCATTTGCACTTATGATATTCTAAGTAACTATGACTCTATCATTTACTTACTTGCTCCCCACCGTGTGCTCCAGAAACTTGGTCATCTTCTTTCTTTGATAGATCTTGATCTTCCTCTCCCAAGAGAAATGGCTCATCAATAAATCCCATGCCAAAACTACCACAACTGATTTCAAGATTCTCTCTCTCTTTCAACATTCTGGCACTCCATCCCTTCATGATAGGCGCCAACACCTCTCCACGCTTCTTTTGTATAGAACAATCCTATCAACATAAAAAAGCTGTACTCAACAGTTAGTATATACACAGATTCCATACTCATTTAATCAAATCTTAAAAAATTATTTTAATCTTACCATGAGGAATAACAATGGTCCTGTGAAAGTTTTGTCCTTGTTTTGATTCCAGGAAACTGTGCTATCAATCAAACATGACAATACATGCTCGCACCAATTTAAGTCCTTGATTTGTTTTACATTGTCAATGCTACTGATGATGTTTGGGTTTGCATATCCATTTGGTCTGCTTTCCACGATCAAAGACATAATTAGAATAACAAAGTGCTTAATAAACCAATCTCCACCTTCGTCGTATAGAAGCATCACATCACAAACATCAGACGGGCTTATCTTTTTCTCACCCTTCCCAAACTTTCCCTTCCACTCTCTCACCAGATCACACGTTTCATTCTTTTTTTTTGTCATAATTTTTGTCCTCCCAGCCGGCAACCCAAGTACCCTTGCAACATCTTGTTCTGTAATGTGCACCTCCTTCCCATCTTCCACAATCAAACAACACTTTCTTGGGTTAAAATTCTCAACCACCCAATAGCCTAACTT